GGGGCCTGGGTCCCTTGCAGGCTGGTATAGAGCCTGGAGGCCAGGATGGACCAGTCTCTGCCCCTCTCTGAAGCCTCTGGCTAGCCTAATCCCGTTGTCCTGAGGTTGGTCTGCCCCTTGTAGGAGGAGACAGACCTGAGCCGTATAGAATTCCTTGTAAGCGATTTGTTCTGGCTCAGAGAAGTAATAGTTCTAGGGTGGTCAGACTAAAAAATTACTGCATCGGCTCACAGGGCTGGTTGATGGTAGCTGGGCCTTAACCAAGGTCTTTGTGAATGCAGACCTTGACTTTCAACCCAGGAAGGTGGTGTTATGGAGAGCAAGCTGTGGCTCATTTATGTTTGTATTCTCCCCATTCCAAGTACAGTGCCTTGAACATAACAGGAAACACACCTTCTTCATGTGAACTGCTGTTAAAGATGCTCAGGTGCTCATAATAAACACATGTACATGTATACACATTCACATACAAGCACAAGTATGAACTCTCTCCCCTTTTTCCTACTTCGAGGCCATAATAATTAAGAACAGAATGCACAGTGCATATAAACCTCTTCTTCATCTTTGAGTACTATTGTGGCTTTACAACTTTCTTTAGCTCTGCTTTAATTACCACATTTCACACCTTCTGGAGTACACCTTTCTTGGAAAATGACAACACCTTATCTCTTTAATAGGCTTTGAGATTAGCACATAAAATATCCCAAAATAATAATTTATTTTAGTTCATGTGAAAACAGTTCACTGTCCACATATATTAAATGCTAATGAATCATTAATGTAAGAACCCCACTTGCTAACCCATTTACCTATTTGGGCTGTGTCCTAGAAGTTCATAGTCAATTTGCTTGTTTTTATAGGGAACTACATTATCTATTATTATGTCTTAATATAAAGTATTATAAATTATCCTATCTAATAAAAGAGAAACATGGTAATTAGCCGTACAACCGATACCCTTCCCCTTGGCTAATCAGCGAGATATGCAAATTAATCGCCAGCCAAGATGGCGGCTAATTTGCATATGTCGGCTTCAAGCCACGGACTGAGGCTTTAGGCCTGGGTAAGGGAGGAGCCAGCCAGCGATTGTTGATGGCAGCGGAGGCGGGGAACCAGGGCGGAGCCAGCCAGCGATCGGCTGAGGCGGGAGCTGGGGGTCCCCGGTCCAGGCCTAAAGCCTCGGCCAGAGGCTTTAGGCCTGGGCCGGGGAGGAGCCAGCCAGCGATCGGCCACGGCGGTGTGTAATCGGGAGCTGGGGGTCCCCGGTCCAGGCCTAAAGCCTCGG